CCAAAGAGGGCAAGGCAATTGAAATCAATCAAGGTAAAGAAGATTCCATGGAAGAAGGCTCCAAAGATAATAAATATACTGTCGAGCATAATGGAACTAAAGAAGATACCATGGAACAAAGTTCAGAAGATGGTAAGGCGGTTGAAAATAATGAAGGTAAAGAAGATACCATGGAAAAAGGTTCAGAAGATGGTAAGACGGTTGAAAATAATGAAGGTAAAAAAGAAACAATGGAAAAAGGTTCAGAAGATAGTAAGACTATTGAAAATGATGGAGGTAAAGAAGATTCCAAAGAAGGCAAGGCAATTGAAATCAATCAAGGTAAAGAAGATTCCATGGAACAAGGTTCAGAAGATGGTAAGACGGTTGAAAATAATGAAGGTAAAGAAGATACCATGGAAAAAGCTTCTGAAGATAGTACGACGGTCGAAAACAATGAAAGTAAAGAAAATACCATGGAAAAAAGTTTAGCAGATGGTAAGACGGTTGAAAATAATCAAGGTAAAGAAGATACCATGGAAAAAGGTTCAGAAGATGGTAAGACAGTTGAAAACAATCAAGGTAAAGAAGATACCATGGAAAAAGGTTTAGAAGATGGTAAGACGGTTGAAATAACTGGAGGCAAAAATTCAACAGAGGAAGGTTCCAAAGATGGTAAAGTAGCAGACTTGAGTGGAGGTAACGCAAATTTCATGGAGGAAGATTCCAAAGATGGTAAAATGGTTGAAAGAAATGAAGGTAAAAATTCTACGGAGGAAATGTCCGGAGATGTTAAGGCATCTGAAAGCATTGTCGGAAAAGACGATTCTGTTGAAGAAGGTTCCAAAGATGGTAACATAGCTGAAAATAGTAAAAGTAAAGAACACTCTTCGGAAGAAGGTTCTGAAGATAGTAAGTCTGTTGAAGTCATGAATGGAGGTCAAGAAGAGTCGATGCAGAAAGATTTCAAAGGAGACAAAATAGATATTAATGAAGATTCGGTAAAGAACAATACCGCGGAGGCTCAAGGAGGTGTTAGTGGAGATTTAACGAATGGTAAAACAGAGGAGACTAAAGATAGCAATGATTCTATGAACAACCAAATGGTGAAGGTTGGAGGAAGCAATGATAATTCTATGAATAATCAACTAACAGGAGAGGCCGCGAATACCACAACAGACCAAAAAACAACGATAGATATCGAGAGCAACACTTCGAAAGAAGTCACAAGTTTCATATCAGACCTTGAGAAAAAATCTCCAGACACACAAGAGTTCCAGAGCTTCTTCCAGAAGCTTAAAGATTACATGAAATACGCGTGTCCAGTCTCTTCAATATTCGAGACTAAAGACTCAAGAACCTACATGTCTGAGATGATAAATATGGCCACAAAACTCTCGGATGCTATGGCTGTCTTGCAAGCCAAGAAAACTGGGTCTGGACAGGTGAGTTGATTAAATATAACCCTCGTAGAAAAATCTAAGGAAGTATAGGTCAGAACTGAAAGTTTAATCTACTTTCTTTTGACAGATGAAGACAACACTACAAGGATATCAACAAGAAGTGATGAAGACTCTTAGTACCTTGCAATCGGTTATGAGCAAAGTCGTATCTGAAAAACAAAGCCAGAATGGTGGTTCCTTGACGCTTACGGTATCACAACAACAAGCAATTAAGGAAATAATATTAAAATGGGAACAAAAGATGTCTCAATTTGTGAAGATCGCTACAGAGAGTGAGAAACAATTTTCAAGCGAGATTTCAACTGAACACAACTATCGTATGGAGAAGAGCTCTAGCTCTAGCTCAAGTTCAAGTTCGGGTTTGGATATGAAGCTTAACGATGAAACTTCAAAAATGGGGGATGTGAATGGTTAGAGCGACTACAATATGTGAGTAGATAATTCCACAAAAATATGATTTTTTCTTTTTATTAATTAGAAGTTGTTTTCTGTAGTAAAATAAACCCAAATCTTCTTGATGTTTAGGCTTTCAATTATGGGATTGGGTAGCTCAGTATACAAATTGTGAACGTGCATGCAAATCATGCAAATTTTGTCTCGTAGATATGTAAATAAAAGATGTCTCATTATTCATTGACATCATATTTGTGTACAGTTAGGACTTCGGTAATTGACATGTTTTGGTGTATGATTGTCTCGTTAGAGATGTTTTTTTGGTAGGATAATTTATAGTGGTTCTCCCGAGAGTTATATCCATTTTCCTTCATTGCGAAATTTCCTATAATAAAAAATTTGGGAGCTTTTTTGTCTTCTTTCTCTCGTACTCTAATATAAAGAGAAACAACGACAATGGTTTAAATAAGGAGAACAAAGTACAAACCCTAAGGAAAATGACCATATGCCTAAATACCAAACTACTAGGGCGTTATACGCTGGCTAAGAGATTATGTTTTTTTTTTTTTTGGGTCAAAAGAGAGATTATGTTCTACCACTCAAATT